CATAGCATGGCATTTGTGTGGTGCGAATGTCACTTGCCACTTGTCAGCCCAAGCCTGAATATTGTCCGGATCTTGCTGCATTTGAACACGGACTGCTTCAGTATCTGAGGAGTCACGAATGGTGCTGAACCTTGTGCAATCATCGGCGAACATCCCCACTTCTGACCTTATGATGGAGGGAAGGTCAGTGATGAAGCAGCTGAAAATGGTTGGGCTGAGTACGCTACCCTGAGGAACTCCTGCAGAGATGTCCTGGAGCTGAGATGATTGTCTTCCAACAACCTTGACTATCTTCCTATGTGTCAGGTATGACTCCAACCACCTGCTAAGGTATGTTTCACTTGTCCTGGAAGTTTTAGGCCATTGCTCAGGTAGTCTTTGAGGAAAATGTCATTCTTCAAGGTCAGTTAGAGGCTCATTGTTGAAGGAGGCACATCAGTTGCTGCACATAAAACATCAACTCATTGAGAAAGTCAGGTTACCAAGATGTGAAAAAATAATTCACTTTAAAATATTATTGACAATTTTAATCTGATGTCTTATGCCTAACAAATGCATATTCAAAAGGTGCGTGTATGATATATAGCTCAACAGTGCAATCCACCAAACTTAATTTGAATTACAGTATTTCAGCAAAAAACAATCCTAAGGGGCTTAACAGCTAACTGTGTAGACAGTTCATCCTACCCGACAAATAGTAAGTTGTAGTTGTTCAAATGGCCACTGGAGGGTAATATTGTCAAATATTAAAATACATATACTCATGCAGCAGCCAATTCCAATGAATTTTAAACATCCAGTAGGCAATTGTAAGTTAATATCTGTTAACACCACTGTACAGAACACATTAATTTCCAATTTAATTTTCAAAAGGTTATTGAATAAAGATTAAGTTTTCATCTTAAAACTTCACTAAGATGAAAAGTTAAAAAGGTTCAAGGTTAAATTTACTGTTATTGTTACTAAATGTAATGCAACGTGCATTAGTATTTATTCAAAGCAAAAGCAGTTTGCAAAAGGCAGATATAACATTTTCTTCATTTTGATCAATGTTCCTCTTGTCTTTTAAGGTTCTGGAAAAGTACAGTCCATTAGTGATCTTTTTCTTAAGAAATGCGTTGAAAGTCAGTATTCTGCATTTTCATGCTGTGCGCATTAGAATGAGCATGGAATGATTCTCTCAATATCCATGAACAGTAAAATGTATTCTTTAGTAACCAACACAGAAATTTTAAGATATTGAGTGTTTTATTAGTGCGTATATAAATGCTGCTTTAATACCACTCTACATCAATTTTTCCACAGAAACCAAAGCAAATAACAATTATTTTCAACATAATAATGCTTTACTCATTATTTGACATATTAAAAAAGAAACTGGTTGAATTCAAGGATTAGTTGCCCAAAGGATTGTGTTAGAATTAAGATTTGTAACACAAAACTTAACATCTCAACTATTAGTGTGACAGTGATTTACACTATTGTGAGATATTCTAAACTGACAGCATGTTCTAGCTTCCAAAGTTGAATGGAAATAACACACATAATTAAAATCAGGTATATCATAACAATACATGCGTTTCAAAATGGTGCTATAAAATTTAGTGGTAATTCTATGACTTTGGGCACAATGGAAACATGGCCAGTTCAGGCAATCGGTGTTTCTTGTTTGAGCACCAAAAACTCTTGCGTGACATAATTTTAATCTCGAGTAAATTAAAAATCTCAATAGTAAACAACTACAGAATCAAAATAGTAACTGACTTAAAGCTGGTTAATGTGATTGAAGGATAAGCCATTTTTATCTAGTCAATCTCTCAACTTTAAATTGATTTTTCAGCCATTTTTCAAAATGCTAAATGTTCAAATGCTAAATAAAACTATTGCACATACAATTGTGTGCTCTAATAAATTACATTTGAAAAGTTGGGCTGTTTCAGACGTAAATAACAACCAATACATGTTAAGCAGCAAAAGGTCAGTAGATTTTGTATGAAAATATTAAAGCTCTATAAATACAACCAATAAATCAATCTGTTTTACATTTCATCTGTTTATTGCATAAAATATTGACGAATAGAAATGTTCATTTGTTGCAAGAGGAAATTTTTTAATGGGTTACGCCTCGAGTTATTTGCTCAGATTTCATCACTATTGAATATGGTACTTACAGAAACAGGAACTCCTAAATCTGAATACATCTTATTGTGAAAATACCAGCCACTGGAGAACAATTCCAAAGGAGATGATCACAGTTGAAGGGGATCCTAGATCCACCAGGTTGTTGTCCAAATATTAAGGTGATGCTGTTGGATCTTGGGGGGGAGGGAACCTCATCAAGAAAAGGGAAACATTTCATTGTGGGTGAACTGAAAACCTGAGAGGGAAAATAAAGTTTTAATAGAAGAAGCCACCTCCTCTTTTCACTTTGGCACCCTATTTCTGAACCAGCAGATGCCACACTGACCTCTACCACAGCACTTGTTCTCAAAGGGTTGGAACAGTTTCCACCTTTTTATCCTACCACAAATGGCTGAGTAATTTATACATTTATAAGTAGGCTTGGGTTAATGTAAGGTCAGCATTTGTTGTACTTTGCATTATTTGCATTGACCATCACATAATTTTCTGGCTTTGAGAAAACTTGTTATATGGAAATGTCTCTTTAATCATTTATTATTTTGCACAATAAATGTATTTTCAATACCTCCCTTGTTCATGAAGAGTCCCTGATGTTGGTGAATAGTTTATGAATAAAGTAAGCACTGGATGTGCAAAAATAGACACAGTCAGTATCACGGTCAACTGTTCGGTTGTACGGGGCTATAAATTCCCACCACCACTAAATAAATAGGTCTTCAAATAAAAACTATCCTCAGACATAATGGTGTTGGTAGTTAATAGAAACAGGAAATTGCAGAGCATATCACTTTAATGAACTTGATGTCCTGTACTGAAGCACATTCTTAGTACACTACCAGTTCCGACAAAGCAGCCAATCAATATAATGCAGTACGTCTTTGGTTTCTTTTGAAGTAAACTTTTTACAGAAAAGGCAACCATATAATGAGCCATGATTTTATTATATAATTAACATTATAGACACGATGATCAAGCCAATGGACAAGTAATATCTAACAAATCTCTACAGACTTGGCCAAAAGGGAAGTAAAAAGGAACATTTTCACGTGAAGGATAATACAATTGGAAGGTTAGATCTGCCCAAAGGAAATAGGAAAACCATAACTCTACTTGTGATTTCCATATTTTATGGTAAGTCATACAATATTACCACATCAGTGGGGAGAAAAAAAACTGTTGTAGAGATGAAGATAGTTCTAACATTTACAAACATTAAAAGCTGGATCTAAGCAGTATATTAAAAGATGTTGGATTAATCAAAAAGTAGCCTTCTTACAGGATAAATGGTAACCACAGCATAACTTTCTTTAGTGGGATGCGAATATAGCTGACAAGTCCCCATATAGAAGGGGATAATTGTTGATAGCCTGTCATATTGGCAGTATTTAATGGATGTGACAGTGGTCTTACTCACAAGATCAAACTAAGTACCACTGAAACACTTTTCTTCAAATTAAACTCTTAGGAAAAGGCAGCAGTACAATTAGCTATGATTTAATAAATAATAAGCATTAAATATTATAGGCGAGAGCTGGTAGCCAGAGGCTGGCAGTTCTATTGAATGGCAATGCCATTGGGTAAGTGGTGCTATTGCCAGGATGATATTAACCCAAGGTCCAGTATTCTCATTGGATCCCAGGATACATGTGAGTGAAGGTAAGGGATTGTGGGGCAGTGATGAAGTTTGCCTGCAAGGGCAAATGTTGGATCCTTCATGAAACTTTGAGAGACCTTAAACACAAGACGCTCCATGAATCTGTGAACAACCCTGCACAAGTTGGATTTTTGTTGTGTTCTCCCCCAACCTGGTTAATACCATCAGTTGAGCAGTAAGGCATTAATTGCCAATTTAGAGGCACCAATTGGTGTTGGGATACAAAGGCCATTTAGAACCTTACACACGACAGAGTGGGAAGGCATGGAGGTTATCACTCCCACCTTCCATCTAATTAAATGCCGCCTACCACCAAATCTGCCACAGTGGGCATTAAATTCATAGGGTAGCTATAGATTGAAGGGCAAAATGATATTCATATTTTCTAAACTTTAAAAGTTCTCAACTTGCTTTAGTCTCCTTGCTTATTGTTATCATAATACCATTACCACTGCCTTGTACTTTCATATCTTTCTTTCTTCCACTCTTCTTTTTCAACTTATAGAATTCCTCAAAGATTGAATACCTTTTAAATGTCTTCATACAGCATTTAATTTTAAAATGAGATTATTAGTTTGCAAAGGTTAGTTTTAGGTATTTTATGATTTTTAAAAGTGAACTAATTTAAAGTTTGTAATTTAAATTACATTTCTTCAGCTTAGATACAAAGTGTGCCTTAGCCTTCAGAATTCTCGTTTTCACTGATTTTAATCAGTCAGAACTTGAGCACACATGTACAAAGATCTGTGACCCTCCCACCCACAACATTAACACATTGATGCAAACTAACAGTATAACTTAGCCTTCCTGTCTGCTCTGTAACCATAGTAGCAAGGATAATATATTAAAGACAGGGATTTCAATACCTCAGCTCTTCAGTTGTGTGGCAGTGTACAAATTGGTCTAAGACTTATTTCAAATTCTACCTTGAAGCCTGCCAATTGCCAGGCTGCAATTTTTAGTTGATGGTACACAAAGTATAGGGACAAGCTGTCTTCTAATGATATGAACGATGTTACTCTGTGTGGTCATGATGCACACAGGCATACAAGCATGAATGTATAATCTTTACACTAGATCATATTGATTTTCTAGCACACAAACTATTTCACTCTTATCTCGTCCTCAGAACAAAGCTATAGATTGCTCTACCATGTTAAGGAAGTGTGTGTAACAGGCTAGTGAAACACACAGACATTGACTATGCATTTTTAACATTTAATAATCTTTTAACATTTGTGGTACAAAAAGTGCGTGATATAATGTACATTTTCTTTTATTTTTTATTCCTCTTAGGTCAGTGTTTCAAAGCTTTTTGACTTCCTGTGAAAACTATCCAGTGTAAAGGTCCATCATTAGGACATGCACAGCTACCACACTTCACATTGTTTTCCAGGATTCATCGGGGTCCCTGTTGCACAATTGAAGTGTTCAGCAAAGTCTTTGGAATTTGATAATGTTCCAATAACTCGAAATTTGGCTGGGCTGTGTGGATCTGTAATGAGGCCTTCATGGGCACTCTCTGGTGTGCGCACAGAACACCACACCTGTAAGGGTGATAGAAATTAAAATCCGTCAGTTTTTCATTACTATCATCTAAAAAAATTATGAAAAGGTAAACAAGTAATATAAGGTGATAGCATCTATGACAAACCTTTTAACGTTGGATTATCGAAAAGTTTCATGAGACAAACGTTACTGTAGTGTGTTAGTTTTAACTAATTATCATATTTGCCTTAATTACACCAGTAATTATGAATTTGCAATGACAAAGGTATGTGATTGTTAATTGCTTTCAATATAATTTACATTACTCACTTAAGAAACTTAAGTGTACCCCAGCTTTATTTAAATAAATAATTATTTTCTGTTTTCAATCATGATATTCAATGGAATAACAACATTGCTGGAAGTAATATGACTCAAAGATTTTTAAAATATTCTCTCTCATAGTTGAAAATAGTGAGTGTTGTACAAGTACCTTTCAACTGATCCTACCTCCTTGCTAGAATAATCAACAAAGTGAATGTATAAATTATTTGCTCTGCATAACTGTAAAGTGATTTTATTTTTAAACAGGGTTTCAAAAAGTTACGAATTGAGAAGTTTCAGAACACTTAATAACAATTTAAATATGGAGAATAAAAAAAAGCAAATCAATTGACTTTTCACATATCTTACTTGTGCAAATCCTACAAAGAAGAGCTGATGGTTGGTCAAATCAACTGCAGGCAATAGTTTTTCTTCTCCATTCTGTTTCACCCATGTTTTGTAGGCCTGAAAATTTGTCCAAAACAGGATTAAGTTTACAGGTAATTTACAAATTTGTCAAACAACACTGAGAAAATGAATGTGCGCAGGTATGTAAGTATTAAAAAATAAAAGCTAGATCTGTAGTTGATACATAATTTCCTTATTCAAGAAACTCATTTTCAAGATATCTGCCTAACTCTCTCCCATCTCTGTTCTAATAAAGATCTTTGGATGTCTCTATGCTCTGTGCCAAACCTGTCCAAAATCCCTTAAATTAAGTCTTTCAATCTGGCAAACCACTTTTAATACTGCTATCCTTGTCATTCCACCTTACAGATGACATTGATCTGCCACTGGTATAATATCAAGCAACTTCACCTCTTCCATTTATGCTATAATGTATTGTTTGCACAAAGTACCACATTAGGGTGCATAATACTGATGCATTCAAGTATTATAAAGATTCAGTTTCACCAGTCTGAACATGTGATTAGCATGCGTGATTATGGAATCCTGAATATTTCAAGTTACAGCCTGGATATACTAACAAAGGTGAGGTTGGGTAGTTCACTTGCCTGGGTAGCTGATTTGCAATGCAGAGTGATAACAATAGCACAGGTTCAATTCCTGCACTGGCTGCGGTTACCATGAAGGACCTACCTTCTCAATCTCATCCCATGTTAGAGGCATGGTGACCCTCAGAATAAACCACCACCGATTGCCTCTCTATAATTAGAGAGCAGCCCTGTGTGAATATGGTGACTTTACTTTTACCAACACAAGTGGGCAGATGTGAAGCTATAAATTCACTTATTGTGTGACATTAAGTTTGAGCTCTACTCTCATTAACACACTCATGATTACAGTGACTCATCAATCAACTCAATTGTAGACTCCATCATCATCTGTTTTTGCAGGAGAAATCACTGCATAAACAGTGGAAAGGCTGGTCACACAATATTACCCACACCCTCTGCTCTTCTAACCCATTTCACAGAAGGCAGCCTGAAAGCTTCTGGAAAGACAGTTACATATGGGGGTGACGAAGTCAAAAAGCAATTGTAAATTCTAGTTCATTTTTTACATTTGGATTCTCTTCCTTTCCAACATCAATCAACCCTCCTCATTCCTATCAGAATTCAGATGGCAAATTAGTTCTTCAACAACCTGATTTTACTTCCAGTAGATGTGCTAACCCAACAGATTAATATCTATATTTCCAGGCTTAAAGAAGTATAGGGTAGAAATTTGTCTTAGATTTTAGAAATTTGCCTAAACAGGCAACATTGAACCAATTGTCTGTTATACATCACTTTTGATGTCATGTTCTTTGATGTAACGGGACTGAATACGGAATGAACAGTACAATGGACAGATTATATTGCGTGACTACCTCAAAAGAATTTCTATTCCAGTATGGCTACTCTCCTAGCGAGATCTATTCTACCAAACTTGCTGCTTAGGTTACAGTATACTTTTTTTAAAAAACTGTTAATTCTCCCAAACACTGATTTCTTCACAACTCTTTGGAAAGGAATTGCATGTAAGAAATAAAAGGTATCAATGGTTTCACATTAACTGTAAATATACATATGAAAAATTATTAACCTACATGATATGCAGCTTTGAGGCCACCATTATCGGCAATGTTTTCGCCCAATGTTTGTTTTCCATTGATATGTTCTCCATTTACTGTATACTGGTTGTACTGATTAACCATACACTCAGTTTTATTTTTAAAAGTTTCAACTGAAGAATTTTGCCACCATGGTTGTAAATTACCATCTTTATCATATTCTCTGCCTGTACAAGAGAAGAATATTAATTAACATCTCACAGTGATTACAACAAAATCCTACCATCTTACAACTCGATTATTTTATATGGCAAGAAATTGAAACAGAATAGATTTCTGAAAGATTTTGCTAGTTGCTCACTATGAGAACTTTTAATGGAAGGGAACTACTTCTACCTTGAACCCCTTTGTCACAACATTATATTTATTACTGGACTTAGTCTAGTTTTTCTTTGACAAAGTCAGAGTTGTATAGAGTTTTTTGTTTCGAAGAGTTTTTTTTGCCACTAATTCAAAGAGAAACACATACATTCCTTTGAAAAGCATTAAAGATGGAGCAAGTTGCTCCTGATGCCATGGTTGCCTTGTCAAACTTCTCATCCAATTCTGCCACACATCTTGCTGTAGCCCACGTCGTTCAGACACCATTAAGCTTCTATCCATTATGTCTATCGGAATCTCCTGCCTCCCCGTCAGTTATATTCCCTCACACAAGCAAACGACAACTTCACAAGGTGTACTTGTTATTCAGGATTGTCTACGAATCCTACCAATACCAGATCAAATGGCAATTAATTCTAGATAGATCAATGGCTATCAGTCCTCCAGGAGCACAGCAGCATTGGATGATTTTATTGTAAAATCTTTCGTATGTCTGCCCTGTGACATTCATTATAGAGAGATGTTATGTTGCTCTAAATTATGCAGGGCCGTAGTGCAAGTACTGGTGTGCATCTCCAGTCCTCCTACTCTCATCGCTGGAATTTGGGTGGGGTCATGGTGAGGACAAATGGGTGCCACAAGTTTGTGCCTGCCAAGTTCCAGCAGTCTCATTATACTGCTGGAATGTCTGGGCTTGAATCTATTATGTACCTTGGTCATCAAAGGCATGTGTTAATTCATGACCCATCACTACTCCAATACCTCCAAAGTTCAGAGATCTATTATTAGAAACAAAAGAATATTGGTTATTTTATCTGATCTTTATTTGATTAATTCTTAATGAAAATATCATAGCTCTAAAAAAACACGCTTACTTTGGACTGCTTCTAGCATAGAATGGTGCTTGCAAAATACCAGCAGGAAAGACTATCTCATTTTTTGTTGGCAGGTAATAGGCATTTACTGTAGGAGGTGTCATGCTCCACCTATAGTCAGGAGCAAAAGCACACTATTAAGCATTTGAACCACTGCTAATTCATATTTATAATACAATACAACATACAAATACCAGTTACTTCCAAAAAAGAAAGCATTTTATCGCATATTATTCTTAATGTGTCTCTCAGAAATGTTTGAATTGCTCCACAGGGAATAAATTGCGTTGTGTACCTGTCATTATTTTGGTAAATCTAATATAGTTTACCTTATTTAAATGAATGTTTTGAGGGATAAAATTCTGTACAGGAGGGGATTTTTTTTGATTACATGCTACAGAATATAACGGTATTTATCAACATGTTTTTATAAGTTGCTCTTCCATTCTGAAAAAAAATGTTAACTGAAATTTATCCTTTTAATTTAAAAATGATATCAAAACATTTTTTTATTTCTTTCCAGCTCACATACTTAAGTTTTGCACTAAAACTTAAAACCCTAATGTCATAACACTAAAATTTTCAATGAAAATATGTTCAATATTTAAATTGCTTCAATAAATCTGAACACCTTTTGAACAACTTTTTTGCAAAATTCACAAGGTGTAGATAAAAGTTAGAACAGATTTTATGTGCTCCCTGCCTCTTGGAGTGCAAATTAGAAATTTGGATGTGCAAGTCAGTGGGTCACCGAAACATAGAGAAAATCCAGAAGGACCCACTGATCCCCAGAGCTCCACAATGCTCCCAGCTCATGAATTTGGCAAATCTTTTCCATAATATTATTTATAAATGAATACTACAACATCATCTGCACACTGAAATTCTTAATATGAATATGGTCTATCTTATCAGAGATTATTCTGAGAAAATATTGTTATAGTTGATTAAATCACCACTTTTAAAAAAATAGCTACCATCAAAAACAGATCTCTGTATTAATACTATTCCTTGTGTGTTATTCTCAATTTTTATACTTAAATATTATTGGCACGTAAGGTGAATAGGCTTTACAGAATACCTACTGGTCACGGTTGGGTGCTTTCCGAAGCTGGTCCGCCATTACCTTGGCTGAAAAATTGTAGAAATTCAACATATTTTGAAAGAATGAATCCTCTGATACTTCATACTAGTTGCAAAAGTGGAAAAATGAAAATTAATTGGATGATAAACAAATTTGAAGAATAATGCACATTAAATTTCAATGAAACTAGCCATCATTTGTTGTTGCCCAAACATCGATGTCAATTCTTAAACAGCAGCATGGATAATGTTATCTTAAGTGGAGCCACTGGGCCTGTTGCTCTTCAGGTGCTACATCTACCTTTGTCTCAATATGCTCACCATACACATAATGTGCATTTAATTAATCTAAATCTTTTGACATGTCAATGTGCTATCATGTTTGTGTCTGGGAAATTGAGCAGTAGCAGTCAGTGAAACACCTCTTAATTAGGAAAAAATACAGTTAAGGATAAACTGTAATCCTTTTAAAGATTTAGGTTGAAAGGTAAGAGAAACTTGAGTTAGTATAGTGCTCCTACAAAGAGAACACTATCCAGGTCTGAAACTGTATAATGGTTAATACAGTACCCCACCATCAACCCCTGACCAGCACAGTCATTCAACCACACTTAGTTATTCATACATTATGCTATGAGAACGCTGAAATAAAAGTTTTTGTCCATTGAGGTTTGTCTGCAGTTAATGGACAGGATCTTAACAGCTTAAGGAGGAGAAATTAATTTGCATATTGCCAAACAGGTAGCACTCCATAATGTTGCTTGCCCCGGGGGAATTTACGTATGTCTGGATAATGCTGCTGTATAGGCAAATGCCTTCCCCATAGTTTTCTCAAATACATTTCATTGGCTCAAGTGCAGAGAAAGCCTGTGTGTTAAACAATACAGTGCCTTGGTACTCAAAGCACTGAAGTATTGTTGCAATTACTGTCCCTTGAAACAGAATGAAAATCTTGGAACTCATTGAACATTGCAACATACCTGAAATTTGTAAGAAAAACATGCAGAAACAGAGTCATTTTATCTGTAATATGCAACAGTGTTTCTCACTGTACACAAACCTTGGCTCACCTGTGATAAGTAGACGATAATTTCAAAAAGAACAATTAAAGCAATACATAAGATGATGTGCATTGTGCAGTTCTGGACCTGATAATAAGATGCTTGCATATCAATTCACATATCCTAAGTTAATTTAATATGCATAAATGCAAATTCACATTCTTTATCACACTGATAACAATTAAGTAGAAAGGTTCATTTCGTATATAATTTTCTGACAGTCTTTTAAATTGTATATTTTGATAGTTGTGATTTAAAAACATTGTCAAGTCACAATGGTGGAAACAGGTAATTATGTGATAATTTTCAAAAGGTTCTTTGTATTTGTAGTTTGTGTGATCACTTACGTTTACAAATTTTAATCAATTTTGAACCATTATTTAAGATGGAAAGTGTTAACTAAACAATAACTACTATATAACACATTTTAAATCTTAGAGAAACATTATATTGGTTCCAAACTTTTTAACCCCAACAGCCTTTGACTATTTTAGTCAGGGAAATTAAATTGAAACAAAATTACTGTTTCAATTATTTAAGGAGAAACCAAATTTTGTGAACAAATTCAAATGTTTTGGAGACAGACTAATGCTAAGCAAAAATCACATAGTACCAACAATAAAAGATGATTCAGAATCCCAGTCTTTGAGAATGGGTTTACTCACCCCATCGTAAACTTCATCCAGCTCCTTTGTATCTAAAATGAAATCTGGAAAACCAATCATGTCATAAATGGCATCAGCCTAATAAGAGAGAAAGAAAAGAAACAATATGCATTAATTAAATAAATACTTGAAATACAGAAATAATTGTGGCCAAATGGACATAGAGCTGTCCATCTTTATGAATTAAAAGGGTTTCCATTCAACCTATTTACATCTACATTAATTTTCTTTTCCCAAACAAAGTGTGTGTTGAATATCCCACACTGAAATATGTAGGTGCAACGATGTGTATGAACACAGAAGTTTATATTTACCAATCTGGACAAAAAATTCAGCTTTATTGTAGAATGTGTTTTACGTAACTTTTACCTTGTAAAGGAGCGTTGCCTTGGAATAGAAATAACGTGAATTAGACTGAAGTAGTGGAAGAAGAAAACAACTATCCAGGAAGTTGCGCAAAGCTTGAATTGCAACCCACAAAGGCAAGAGAAGGCTAAGTTAACAGAGTGCCATTTCAGTGGGGCCTGATCTAAATGCCAGCCAATTTTCACTGAATAAATTACAAAACCCCTACTTGTATAGTATGTGTAAATTTCTCCGAGCGTTTCACGTGGTGCAGTAAATTGTAGGTACACAGTCCCATCGTGATAATTTCACTGGATTAGTAATCCAGTGTCTCAGACTAATGTTCTGGGGAACAAACTGAAACTCAGTGGGTCTGACAACATTTGTGGAGTGAGAAACAGAGTTAGCGTTTTGAGTCCAGGATGACTCTTCACAACATTCTGGAACATGAGTTCAAATCCTACCCACTGTGGTAAGGGTGAAATTTAAATTCAATAAAATCTAGAATTAAAAGCTAGCCTAATGTTGACCATTTAACCACTGTCATAAAAGCCTATCTGATTCAGTAATGGCCTTCCACCTATGGGGATGGGTCTGGGTGGGACCCTGTGAGGGTCGGTGTGGACTTGTTGGGCCGAAGGGCCTGTTTCTACACTGTAGGATTCTATTCTATGAACATCAGTGATGGAAACTTACCATTTCTGGCTTACACAAGAGTCATGACCCACAGCAAAGTGGACGACTCTCAGTTGCCCCCTGAAATGGCCTAGCAAGCCACTCAGTTGTCTCAAACTGCTACGAAGTCTAAAGAAAGGAACGAAATGGAACAGACCACCTGACATTGATGTACGTACCAGAAATGACAACAGCAAACACATCTGCTGACCCTGCAAAGACTTTCTTACCAAACATCTTTGTGCTAAAATTGGAAAGGCTGTCCCACAGACTCATCAAGCAACAACCGTACAGTTATACTCATGAAACTGTACAGACAACATCCCAGAAATGGTTCATTCACCAGAAATGGTGATCCATAGCTAAATAAATGGGATGGAGTCAGCCGTGGATTCTTCAATATCGACTCCAAACCCCATGAAATCACATGGGATCAGTTCAAACATAGACAACCTGCCACAGATGACCATCTACATCTACCTCCTCCACATGCCTGGCACATTTTCCACTCTGCTGTTACCATCAAGCTGAATATCAACACTAGTTCAATGAAGAGTGCAGATGGGCATGCCAGGAGCACCACCAGGACTGCATAAAAATCAGGGTTTATACCCAGTGAAGTTACAACACAGGACTACTTGCATGGCAAACAGTGGAAGTAGCTTGTGATACACAGGAGGTAGGTGATCCCACAACCAATGGATCAGACCGAAGCACTGCAGTTCTGTGACATCCAGTTGTGAATAGTGATGCACGTTTAAATAACTGAAGAAGAAGGAGACTCCATGACTATCCCTTCTTCAGTCATGGAGGAGCTATGCATCAATGCAACAGACAATGGTGAAGCATTTGCATCCGTCTTGAGTCAGAGGTGTTGACTGGATGATCCATCATGGCCCCCAAATGGCTCTAGGCGCTGGATATACCAAAGGCTATGGGCCCTGTGAGCACCTGGCAACAGTCCTGAAGACTTATTTTCAAGATTTAGCCATGTCCCTAGCCAAGCTGTTCCAGTACAGCTACAACACTCACATCTGCCCAACAATGTGGAAACATTGCCCGGGTATGACCTGTGCACAAAGGCATTACAAATCCAAAATAAAAACCAAAAGAACTGTGGATACTGTTAATCAGGAATAAAAACAAAGTTGCTGGAAAAGCTCAGCAGGTCTGGCAGCATCTGTTTCGGGTCCGGTGACCCTTCCACTTAGTTCTGAGGAAGGGTCACCGGACCCGAAACATTAACTCTGTTTTCTCCTTCACAGATGCTGCTAGACCTGCTGAGCTTTTCCAGCAACTTTGTTTTCATTACAAATCCAACCTGGCTAATTATCACCCTATCAGTCTATTCTGTGTCATCAGCCAAGTAATAAAAGGGGTCATCAATTTGTTATTAAGCAAATTTGTAAAGGCATAACCTGCTTACTAACATTCAATTTGGGTTTTGCCATAGCTAGTTGACTCCTGACCTTACTGCAGCCTTGGTCCAAACATAGACAAAGAAGCTAAAATCCAGAGGTGAGATGAGAATTATTGCCCTTGACATCACGGCAGCACTTGATTGAGTGTGGCATTTAGAAGCCTGAGCAAATTTGGTATCAATGAGTCAGGGGAAACTTTCTGCTGATTGAAGTCTTATCTAGCACAAAGGAAGATGGTTATGGTTGTTGGTGATCAATTATCCTAGCCTAGGAGATCTCTGCAGGAATTCCTTAGGGTAGCGCCTAGGCCCAACCATTTTCAGCTATTTCATCAAAGGCCAAACTCCATCATAAGGTCAAGATTGGAGATGTTCACTCATGATCGCATAATATGCAGCACCAATTGCAGCTCTTCAGATACTGAAACAGTATGTGTCCATATGGACAATATCCAGACTTGGGCCGATAAATGGATGGAAGTTTGGCACAACACAAGTAAAGGCAATGACTTTCTTCAACGAGAGAAAATATAATCATCTCCCCTTCATTTTCAATATCATTATCATCACTAAATCCCAACAGTCAACATCCTGGGGTTACCATTGACCACAAACTAAACTGGACCAGCCATATAAATATCATGGCTACAACAGCATGTCAGAAGCTAAGTATTTTATGCTGAGTAACTCACCTCCTGTTTATCAAAGCATGTCTACTATCTATAAGACACAAATCAGGAGTGTGATGAAAGCTTTCCACTTTCCAGGATGTGTGCAACTCCAACAACTGTAAAAAAGCTTGACACCATCCAGATCAAAGTGGCCTGCTTGATTGATACCTCATCCCACCACCTTAATCATTCACTCCCTTCACCACCGACACTCAGTGTGTATCAGTCAAAAGGTGTACTGTAATAATTCACCAAAGCTCCTCAAACCGGAAACATTTACCAGGTTGAATGACAAGCCCTACAGATGCATGGGAAAACCACCTGTGACTTCACCTCCAAGCCTCATACCATCCTAACTTGTAAGTATATTGATGTTCCTTTACTTTCACTGGATCAAAATCCTGGAACTCCCTTTCTTAAAAGCATTGTGGGTATCCCTACATCCCAAGAACTACAGCAGTTCAAGAAGGCTACACCCCATCACTTTTTCCAGAGCAATTAGGGATCGGCAATAAGTGCTTACCTAGCCAGTGATACCCTCATCAATGAATGTTTAAAAGAAACAAAAAGCACAAAATATCCTCAGTACATTGCTCCAATTAGAGAAGTTTTGGCAAAACTTTTTGTTTTGCAGTCATCAACACAAATGTAAGAATGCCAAATTTACACTAAGAGAAAAGGGTCCATCCAGGGAATCACCAGAAGTGGCCATTCTTCCTGCACAATTACCTCAAATTCTCCAAGGATCTATTCTTGGACTCCATGTGAAAAGATAATCACATGTGAAAACATAATTTACTGCCAATGGATCAAAGTCCTGATCTCCATACCCAACAGTGCTTTGGCTGAAAATTTATCACTTGAACTGTACACATTCAACAAATTGGCTTACCACACCTTCTCAGGGGTAATTAGAAATCAGCTGACCTTGCCACCAGTGCCTACATCCTAGGAATGGAGGACTTTTATCCCTTTGTAGCTGTCTGGCAGGATGAATGCACCATACATGCATCCTAAAAATCCTGCATTAATGTGGAGGCTGTTTTTACTTGTCACAAACAATCTGGACATTCATGAGTTATCACCCCTTTTATTCAAGAAGAGAGTTAACGATAGGAACTTACATAGTAATTGGGTGCCGCCTATGCTTCTTTCACATTGGGAAACTTAGAAACACCATAAAACTGAATTGCCTCCCTTTTTGTGTTCCTGAATTGGATACATTTTCCAGCTATCTGAATTATCGATACACATTCTGGTGGCAGCACAGTCAATATCACAGTCTGCCTGTGACTTGATCAGAGTTCAGATATGACCTTCACCCTTCATACAGTAGCTGGTAAAGCTAACGATTCCCTCTCTGGTGATATACTTTTTAAACTGACCTCTCCACTAAGGTTATGTGCCCTGTACATTTCCTGGGGAGGGATGATATCTTGAAGAGTGCATCTTCTTCACATCCTTTATTGACTTCCTCTATAATAATGATAAACAGAGGAATACCTAAAGGAAATCCCATATCTGGTCCTCAGAATCTTATACTGTCTTTAAGGCCAACATTCCTCCATTTTTCATGGGATGTGCGAATTGCAGTCAACTAAGATTAATGGCTGTTACCATGACTGATACCAACTTTGTATTCCATATTGAGCAATTGAATGTAAATTCCACCAGCAGCAACAGTGGGATCTGAAAGTGTGTGTTCTCAGAAAATTAGTCTTGGACTCTGGAATATTAATCCCGTGATATTACTACTATGCATCCATCTCTCTGATAAAATAATAACTTCAGGTCTCAGTTGATAGCAGGTATACCTTGTATGTTTTGGTTCAATTTGTCTTTGGTGCATACGCAAGAATACCTTGTGGGATTTGGACGTACTGAAGTTTAGTTCATTTAAAACGGTTCCATGGGAACTTGGCAAGGGGCATCTAGGAGAGGTAGCTACTGCATCAATTTGTTCACCAATAAATCTGTTTTCAACAATTCTGTGTCACAGAATGTTAAAAATAACAAAGAGTTTGGTTTTCACATCTCACCAGTGGATCTCATCCAACCACCAGCACAAGAGTATCATTAAAGCAGCATAAGTGCAAACGCTTAATGAAAACAATTGTATTTATATATAGTCCCCTTTAACATTATAAGACATGCTTCAACATGCTTCATGGGAGCACTATCAAACATTGCACTAGGCTATCAATTACACTGTAATAAGTTTGCATTTCAAAATACTGAATTATCTAGCGAAATTCAACAATTTGAGAAACATGAACCTTTTCCTTAGCTGCTTGTCGAGTTTTATCATCCATCCATGTAAGCTTGTCCAAACCATCTTTAAATGCTGTTCGAATTTCGTTAATCATTTCTTCTGCCTGGATATCAAATTAGAAAGACAACAGCTGTAAGTTGTACTTCAGGCTAAATTGTAGAATCAAATTAAAGTACAGGAGGCCATTCAGCCATTTATCTGTGCTGGCTCTCTGCAAAAATAGCTCAGCTAATCCCACTTCCCTTCCCTTCCACCCTTGCTGTATAGCTTTGCAATGTTTTTTTTTCAGCTAATTATCCATTTCCATTAAACATGGGCCATGCCGGTACAAAACAGGGCGTGGGAAACCTTTTGAAATTCACCCTAATTTCTTGCCTCTTCCACCAATGGGAACAGTTTCTCTTTTCCTATTCTGTCCAAATCCCTCATCATTTTGAACTCTATCAAATCACTTATCAATCCATCCATGCAACTAAAGTCCCTCATCTCCAGAATCATTTTCATAAACTTTTTTGCACTCTCTCTAAAGCCTTCACATTCTTCCCAAATTATGGTGCCTAGAAATTTTCACAACACTCCAACTAAATCTGAGTAGTCTTTTGTAAAGTTGACTTGTAACTTCATATTCTTCACATTCTTCCTCCCAAAATATTCTCACTTTGCACTTTTTATCTGGTAAGTCTCCATCAATCTATGTCCTCTTAAAATCTATCGGTATTCACTGTTCACAATGTTTCCACATTCTAAGCCATCTGCAAATTTCGAAATGTTGCTCCACACAAACCTAGGTCATTAGTATAGATCAGGAAAAGCAGTGTAATCCTAACATTGTCCCTTGGGGATCCCCACTGCATACCCCCTTCCTCCAGACCAGAAAATAGCTGTTCATCATTGATTTGTTTCTGACAATTTTGTGTCCATGCTATCCATGTCCCTTTCAATCCAGCAGCTCTAATTTGGCTGATAATCCTGTTATGTGGTATTTCATCAAGAACCTTCACATTTTCATGCACAACAAGATTCACTGCATTAATCTTACTAAACCTCTCTGTAACACCAAAAACACAATTAAGTTAGTTAAATATGATTGCCTTCAATAAATCTGTTATGGCTTTCTTTAATTAATCTGCATTTGTCCAAGTGATTGTTAACTTTATCTTGGATAATCATTTAAAAACTTTCTTAATACTCGTGTTAAACTAACTGGTCTACAGTTGCTGGGTTTAGGTTTGCACAATTTCTTGATCCATATAGAATTTGCAATTCTCCAGTCATCTAACACCAACTCTGTATCTAACTTGTACTAAAGCTGAAAGTTTAAATAGCTCACAGCTATTTGGGTTAATCCTAGTTCAGTCAGTTTACAATGCTAATTTAAACCTAAATATTGCTTTAATTAGCATCAATACAGTACAATCTGTCTACTGCAAAGTCATGGCACTACTTGGCCCATATTAAGTGCAAGAATCACAGCTGCAGTGTGCTCATCAACCTTGTAGTGCAAAACTGTTTTTTTTATTCATTCATAGGATGCGGGCATCATTGGCTATCAGCATTTTATGCCCATCCCTAATTGCCCAAACGGCAGTTAAGAGTCAACCACATTGCTGTGGGTCTGGAGTCACATGTAGGCCAGACCAGGCAACGATAGCAATTTTCTTCCCTAAAAGGACATTAGTGAACCAGATAGGATTTTCCTACAATCGACAATGGATTCGTGATCATCATTTAATTCAGATGTTTATTAAATTGGCAATCGTATTTAACTAACTTGATTGTGTTTTTTGGTGTTACAGAGAGGTTTAGTAAGATTAATGCAGTAGATCTTGTTGTACATGAACATGTAAAGGTTCTTGATGAAGTGGGATTTGAACCTGAGTCCCCAGAACATTACCTAGGTCTCTGAATTAACAGTCCAGCAATAATATCACCAGGTGGTTGCCTTCCCTAAAAGTTTACATATTGAAATATTCCATTTATGTCTGATTTAATTCCCTGGTCCAAAATATATTTAATAAATAATAACTAATGATTGTAAATAATATTTAGAAGTATAGTATTTTACAAAAATACAAGCCACAAGGTGGGATCACTTGCTATTCTATGCTGGTTCTTGGGAAAAATAAGTCCCATAATTTGTACATTTTACATTTTGCCACCAATCCATATAAACTGCAAATTATCAACTATGTGGGAGTCATAGATCTGTTGTCTTTGCCACTAAGGGTGGGGAAGGTATTGTTTTCACTTATTTGTTCATCAGTCCAGTTTGTAAACAATGTATCTCAAAAAATAATCAACAAAACTTGGTACACTGATAGGAAATGGACTAAGAAAGTACCGGCCAATTTTGATGAAGATACAAATCTGATTTTAGATATTTGTTTAAAAGGATCCAATGACATCAGGAAATATGGAGAATGGACCTGTCTTTAAAAGAATGTTGCACATTATTTTAGTTAGAATGATGATTGTTTTAGAACTGCTTGCTGAATGTGGATCGGCCTGATGCCTCCTTAATGAGAGGAAAGTTCTTAATTTTGTTTTTCACCTTTGTCATTATAAAACATCAACCTAGAAAGAAAAAAAGCTCACATTTATGGGATAAAACAACAGCTATAAATTCTTACACATTATAATGCACTTTTTTGCCCTCCTCAAAATTGTTCTATAATGTTGATGATGTTTATTTGATGGATAATTTACTATTTGCTATATGTAATAAAAACAAAAAGATTTCACAAAGAAGTATTTATGTTCCTTTAGCGCAGAGAAAATCTTTGACAATGAATGTTAATCAAGCTTGAAACATAAGAATACTTACTATTATTTTGCTATCTTTATCAAATGTAACTTTCACAAATAATGCTCCCAAGGCAAATCCTAGAGTGTCATCTGTATTTCCAATGCAAGTCTGCCATCGAGGAGTACAGGACTGAAAGAGATCAGGTTTTATAATGTATGTGATGCATTAATGTATTTATTGAACAGAACCTGAAATGCACGTGAAATATATAATATCTGAACCAATTCCTACAAAAATGCAATTGTGCCATTTAATGTAATTATAAAACAATGTTGATATCTTCTAGTGACACAGATTGATTCAGACTGGTCTTCCTTTTGAACCAATTTACCAACTTTTCCGAAATATTTTGTTTCCAAGTAACTCTACAATGGTGTTCATTGCAATCTGTCAATTTCTACATTAACATGGTTGTCACTGTATTACTGTTGTGAGTCAATATCGTAAGTAAGAAGTTGCTGTCCACTAATTTTAGTAACAAAAATTGGATATTTAGTATGGCTTTTAACTTAGGTTTTGTTTTTCACTAAAGTGACTAAAACAGGCATTTGAGTCCCCTTGCCAGAAATTACAACAAGGCTTTCCTTCAGTAACATTCAGGAAGTCACCAGAGGCAGGTTTCTCACAAAATGGCCTCTCATGGATTACCCCTAAGCAATTTACAATGTAAGCAAAGAAATACTGAGAAACATGAACGACAGAAATTTAACAGATGTCTAGCATTTAGGATTTATTTTCAATTCTGATTATTTAATTTTTCCTACACATTCTATTCGAAACCAAATAAGGTCATATGGTCTCTAAAAATTCGAGTAACTTTCCACCAAGCGTATGATGGCACTTTAAACAGACATTTGTATTCATAGTCAACATTGTAATTAAGCTAATATCCATGACATAAAGCTTGAAAAGATATTAAAAGGCACTTGGTTAAAATTGAGCTATGCATGTATTTCTGCTATGACATCCCATTTAAAACATTGCAGCTTTAATTCTTTCTAAGCAGCAGCAGGCAAGTGCCCCATAGTATCATAATCCAAAAACTTTTATGGCTGGATCAGACATAACATGAAATACAGCACATTATCTCTAGAGAATTTGTAGGCTCTATATCCAGCAGACAAAACAAGGCAACTGATGGGAATGTTTTACATGTTAAGAACAAAGGGAACAATAATAACATGGCGCACTTCGTAGCTTAGTTCTCCAAATAGTATTTGCTTGAGAAATAGCTAAATTTGCAATAGATTATTATGAATAGTTTTCGATTTCAATCAACTTTCTAATGGACAAGTCATTTCTTTAGTTGCATAAATAAACTAATGTTCAATTTAATAATAGACTCAGTCTGCTTTCTGAAGTAGTATGTGGGTGGTCTATCGCATCCTTCAAAATTTTGGAATGTAAAGAGTAGATTTGGGAGAATTCTGGTCAATTTTGAGTGTTATCCTAGATGCCTCTGCATGATGTGCTGATGGTGATAATGTTCACAATCGAACAATATTTATGTAAACTTGAAATGTGAACAATTACAAACACTGATTAATTACTCACATATATGAAACTTCCCAGCAAGTGTGTATAAGTAGTTGCAGATGTCAGCAGACACTGCATAAGAAACTGCATTCAAAATGAATGACAACACATTTGAAAATCATGATTTATAATTAATCTTGGGCACATTTGGAACAGATTAGTTGTTAATTAGAGACCACATACATTGTAACATAGCCAAATAGTAACCAAAAAGTAATTCCCTACTGCATATGGATCTCAAATGTATTCCCTAAATAATTTGTCAATATATCAGGTTGTCTTTTTGCACTATCTTGTTTAGAATGGCACCATTGCAAAGGAGCTGGCTGCTTAACAATATCAACTTCTTGTACATATATAATGCTTTTAAGGTGCTTATAAATGTTGGCCTATCCCAATTCAACACCTAGATTTGCATACATTTGGTTAGGAGTGCATGCTATTGAAGTTGTTTACAAAATTTCCATAATTGAATAGCCAGCACTCATTTTGCAGGATCATACTTGGAAATCAGTTGCAGGATCAGTTACCAGTGACTGTTACTAATGTAACTTTATCTCATGTGAATTGTCAACAGTGTAAAGAAAGATCAAGAAAACACCCTTTAAAAAGAATACATCCCAATGTATGTCTAATGGAAACATAACATGTAATTAAAAAACCATGAATTAGCAGGATTTGACGATATTGGAAATATGGTTATTGGGAATATCTCGCAACATTCCTTTATGGTCTGAAGGAGAATGTGCAGGGAGGTATCACTGATCATTGAGGCTGGTTTGAGTCAGTGGCCATTCACCTCTCCAAAGAATATAGCAACCTCAAGTAGTGGAGTACTTGGCAGAGAAGCCCAGCCTTGCTGTTTGACCACAAGGGTCTTTAATAGGCCACCCACAGATGCAGCATATCCACTGATAGTGGGTTTGACCAATGAATAGCTCTCCTTGCCACTAAATCTCAAGTTTTCACTACACCTTGCTGATACTTAAAACTTAAGTTCTTAAGAAAATGGCAGAAAATATCCTGTTGCCAAAGTCATCATTATACTGTGAGATTCCTGCTACAGTTGAGGGGAGGGGTTGAAAACCCAACAACACTGGAGTTTATGGCACAACCAGCAGTGAAGACCATCCAACTGTTGGAAAAACATCAGACTATCCAAAGACTATGCACATGTTCTAAAACATTTAACTATTGGAAGGTTATCTAGTTGTCAGAGAACTTAGAATAACCAAACCAACAGTTTGATGGTGACTTCTGCCCTGGGATCAAATAGAGTCATGTTCTTTCAATATCTAATATTGGTGCAGGAGCTGAATGCTTGTCTGCTTTTTGTATTGTTATAATTGTCTTCTAATTTCCTTTTATTTACCAGTAGTTAATCTAATGTGTAAAACTGATTCAGAAATCAGATGACACTAGGTTATGGTCCAATGGGTTTATTTGAAATCACAAGGTTTTGGAGCGTTGTGCCTTTGTCACCTCATCTGATGAAAGGGCAATACTCCAAAAGCGTGAGATTTCAAACAAATCTGTTGGACTAAAACCTGGTGTCGTTCTGATTTCTGACCTTGTCCACCCCAGTCCAACACTGGCACCTCCACATCATATATAAAATTGAGACTGTGATTACAATTTGGCATTATGTTTAATCTATTACAGGGAGCTGCATGCCTGTTGAAAAGTTGGAAAGAACATCTACACCAAACAGTCAAGCAAGGACCAAAAATTATACTTCAAAAAGATGATTATATTTGTTACAAACAGTGAAACGGCCATGTAATTTAGTGTAAACAGTGGAACAGCAAATATTATGTCAAAGTATAACTGCTTACATTTCAAAAGGATGAAAATGAGAAACAAGTTCAATTGACCAGTTCTTGGGACATTAGACCACAATAACTATGAACGTAAACTTTCCTTCTCATATTTCAAACATTTAATCTTGCGTTCTGGCTTGATGCAAAACCAACTATCCAGCTAAATTATTAATCTCACCTTCTTTGTACCATAGAGAGTTTCCAAAAGCTTTTCCTGTGCATTTTCAAACCGCTGATCCAAGTTGGATGCTGTCTTCTGTACTAAATTCCATATCATGTAATTGTTCAAAATGCTATGCGATTTAAAACATTTATATTGTTAAATATTTTATCATTTGATTTTAGATACATTGTTCCATATTGCATCTAATTTACTAAAATACTAATTTTCTAAAAGTGCATGAAAAATACAGGTATTATTTAAATATCTAACTTGAAGCATAATTGTTTATTTCAGTTCTGTTTTATTAATGTAAAACTCAAATTTCGCAGGACTCCTTTACTATTTTCCTTAATAAGGAACTTAAACAGACATATCATTTAAATATACAGAATACAATTCATATTTATTTATTGCACAGTGTTTGTTATGAGATTAATTATCTATTTACTGGAAAACTCAAGAAAGGAAGTTATTTGCAGATGAAAATTAAGAAACAACTAAAATGCTACAAAAAAGTGCACTTCAGTTGGAACCATAATATAAAAATGTCAGCCATCTACAAAAAAAAGTATAGACAGATTCTTTATAGGCTGTTAAACTGCAATTAACTCTGTTTATCATCAACATTTATAATTAGAAGTAATGAACAGACCAGATTCTTGAGGATTAAAGGAAAAATAAAATTGACAGATGTATCATTAGTATATGACACATGGCAGCTATGATTAACCTTACATTGTCCTCTCTCCATTGAAGTCTAAGTTTAAAAGTAACTGGACCGATGAGCTCATGAAAATTAACTGAGCATCTCACTCCAGAAAATACCACAGGGTTAGAAACAGAAAAGTGACACAGGTCAGAGTTCAAATATGACACCATCAAGGTGTAGAGCTGGATGAACACAGCAGGCCGAGCAGCATCAGAGGAGCAGGAAAGCTGACATTTCGGGCCTAGACCCTTCTTCAGAAATGGGCGAGGGGAAGGGGATTCTGAAATAAATAGGGAGAGAGGGGGAGGTGGATAGAAGATGGATATACGAGAAGATAGGTGGAGAGGAGACAGACAGGTCAAAGAGGCAGGGTTGACCTGTCTGTCTCCTCTCCACCTATCTTCTCCTTTATCCATCTTCTATCCGCCTCCCCCTCTCTCCCTATTTATTTCAGAATCCCCTTCCCCTCCCCCATTTCTGAAGAAGGGCCTAGGCCCAAAATGTCAGCTTTCCTGCTCCTCTGATGCTGCTCGGCCTGCTGTGTTCATCCAGCTCTACACCTTGTTATCTCAGATTCTCCAACATCTGCAGTTCCTACTATCTCTCACCAACAAGTTGAAAAGCTTTCTGGACTTCAGCCTCAATCTTAACTGCCATCATCTCTTCCCATCTCACTGCTGTTATGCAAAAGGTTGGATAAGTGTTTAAAAATCACAAAAAAAATCTGCTCATTCCTAGCTTGTCTAATATTTACTGGGATACAGTATCTTTTATAAAGTATCACATCAAGGATCCTGAAGTTTGCTGAATGTACATATTTTAGTAATTATAAATGGTCACTCTGATTTACTCTAAAACCCAGACACCATTGCACAGGTTTGATGTAGAAACATAAGCCACTGCATGCCAACTTACCCTCTAACTACTTTTTCTGCCTGCATTAGCATCCTACATCAGAAGTCAATCCTAGGAAATGCATCAGGACACCAATTATGCAGCCACGTAGTTTAGAAAAAATGGCAATAGCAGGAATAGACCATTCAGCTCCTCATGTTTACCCTGACACTCAGTAAGATAAAGCTAATTTGATGCTGTCTTTCCTACCTATCCTCCATTACCTCTGCCTTAAGTATCTTCAGTGACCTGCCCTTCACTGTTCACAGGAGAGATATTTCTAAACACTAACAATCCTCTGAGGGAACAAATTTCTTCTAATCTCCATCTTAAGTGGGAGGTCCCTTCTTTGAAAATGAGCTCACTCGTTCTACATTCCCCCATAAGGGAAAATATTCTGTCTGCATCTGCACCCTCAGAATTTTATATATTTCAAGTATATTGCTGCAAATGGCATAAATTGTGTCTCCCGAAAGTGCTGTGGCAAATTTATGCCATAATTTTTTGGAAAAACAATTAGAAGATGCCATAGGGAATGTAACGGCTGATTGGGAGTAACATGGCTAATATCTGAAACATATAGAAAGTAGCAGGCCTAACTCATAATGCAACGACAATTTTTTTTTAACTATAACAAATCAATAGCAAAGTTCAAACCTGATAATGTAGAGATAGGTTGAAACTGTACGAGCAGAGTGTCCAGGTTGAATTTAATCAGACTTAAATCTGTACTGAAACCATAGGCTAACTAAACAAATAATTTATCAAGAACCCATGATTATCTTAGCCTAACAGGTAACCCATCACAATTACGATTGTCTTCTCAATTGCATGCAGTTTTCACTACCCATTGTAAAACACATTTAGCACACAAGCTCAAATCATATACAATCATATTACAAGTTGGGGTAAAATCAGAACATTGCTGATTATTAAAATTGTTTTCTTTTTAAACTTAGTTGAGTTTTAAGATTTCATGAGGTTTTTAAAACAAGTAACTAAGATGTTCCCCTTGGCTACTGTGCTGGACAACAGAATACTTCTTTCACAAAATCATTCTTGGCAACTGAGTGTTTCTGGCAAGGCCATAAATTATTGTCCATCCCTCCATGTCCCTGAGTAAGTGTTGGTGCACATCATACAACCGAGTGGCTTGCTAAGCTATTTCAAAGGGGAGTTAAGTGTCAAGCAGATTGCTTCAAGTCTGGGGTCACTTGCAGTTTAGGACAGCAAATTTCTTCTCTTGAAGGGCAGCAGTGAATTAGATGGAGTTTTACAACAATCTGGTGGTTTGATGATCAATATTAATGAGACTAGCATTTTATTCCAAATTTACTGATGAAATGGATTTAACTGTGAGTGTGGGATTTAAAGTTAGTTCTTTGAAGCATTAGTCCGGGTGCCTGGATTATTATTCTAATAACATTAGGACCATGAAACAATACTGTTCCAGTGCCATTCTTTACTGATCTAAGTGGAAATGTCAATGACAGAAGTAAATTCAACAAAATTGGTATCATTATTTATGTTAATGGGTTGGGGGGGTTAATTTTAAGTGCAAACATCCAGCAAATTATGCGTGGTACATGCAATGACAAGTGACTTGCGCTATAATTTGCTGAAATTTCGGTACCATTACTAAAGGATACACACATTTTGAAGGCATGTGCCTTTGCAAGTTTCAGTGGCCAACATGGCAGGTGAGAAATTACATTTAACCAAAAGATTGACTTGCTGCCCTGTTCTGTCAAACAGTATTTTGACTCAGATGTTGCTTGATGAATATATTCAAGTCAGAGTTCTATGATGTCATTATGCAAATTTTAACTGGCTAAGATCTGTAAATTCTGCCAACTGGCACATCCACAGAGAGAAGGAAAAACTAGAGCTATTTGTTTCATCATAACAAATGGGGTGACTGAAGCTGTATGAAATGGGTCTATCGTTTGCAGGCATGCAGGTCATTAGGATCAGTGTTCTATTGTATGTAATGCCCTTCCAAGGCAGTTCTGAGCTCACAGTTCCCTTCTTTTCAAATCTGACCCTTTTACTCACCTTCATTAAGCACTTGCTGCATTTTATATTTGTCTCATTTATTCCTGCCAATAGTATCATGGAAACATGAATAGGTCATTCACCCCTTTGAGTCTGCTCCACTATTCAGTCAAATCATGACTTCTGTATCTTAATTGCAGTATGATAAATAAGCAGTTGAGTTTATTCTCCTCGACTACCCAGCCCCAAAATCCAATTATAGTTAAAAATAAGGGTCTTAATCTTAATGAAAGCTGAATTTCTTTTTGGGGAGGGTGCGCGAAGCCAAGTGGTACTGATTGGAAGATATTTTACATAGCAAGAACAAAAACAGAAATTGCTGGAAAAGCTCTGCAGGTCTGGCAGCATCTGTGGAGAAAATATCAGGGTTAACGTTTCGGGTCCGGTGACCCTTCCTCAGAACTGAGTTCAGACCTGAAACGTTAACTCTGAATTTTTCTCCACAGATGCTGCCAGACCTGCTGAGCTTTCCCAGCAACTTCTGTTTTTGTTCCTGATTTACAGCATCTGCAGTTCTTTCGGTTTTTATTTTACACAGCAAGCTTCGACTTTCAAAATGTAATCTAGGGACATTTATTTATTAATAATTAAGTATGCAACTACTTTCTTAATTTCTGTTCTCTTCAATTTCATTCCCTTGTGTATGAATAATAATTACCAAAGCACTGTCTACAAACTAACAATCTATCTGCAATTACCTCTTGTCAGTATTATTAATAAGATCAGACACCATCTGCAGATATTCCTTGGCATAGACAACTACTGATTCTGTTTCATTCAGGTCCACTGGTGCCAGTCCAAATGATAAATAATCCAACCAGTCAATGGCAGGTGCTAAATTCTGAGAAGAAGAAATACAAGGAAATCCATAATTGAAAAGTGATATCAAATTTTAGCAGGTTTTCTTTCATTTAACTTAAGTTGGTCTAAAGACAAGTGAGTTTACTAGAGATAACAACAAATTCACCTGAAACCATTCATTGGTTTAATGACTACTTATTTTATTTCAATTAATACAATGCAGTACAATGCAGTCAAATCTCGTAGAAGGGGCATGTTGTTTTGTGGGGAAATGGAGTTCACAGTCCTGGGTTGGCTTGTTTCTCCTTCAACTATTGTCAGTATTGCACTTCATTGTCATCACTGATTCTCAAAATAGCTTGCATCTTAAATGAACAGGAGATGCAACGCTGAGCAGTTAACTGTTTTCTCCAACCAGTTAATGGTGCCAATGCTTTAGGGTGAACATGAGTTTATCTTTTTGCATCTTCCTTCAGCCATCCTTTAAGCACTGGCCAACAAGAACTAGGCAAAGAGAAAGTGCTGAGAAAGGTGGTTTCTCAGGCATTCAAAAGCAATGGAATGTCCATCAAAGTTGGTTCTTCAGGATCAGGGATTCAACACTGGTATTTGCAGCTTCATGGAGGACACTCATTTTGGTCTGCAGGTTTTTTCATTTAATTGCCAAGATTCAATGCAAGTACCACTGGTGGAAGCTCTCAAGGATCTGTCAGTAGATGGTCTGGGTCTTGTTGTAACAAAGAGTCAACAACACAAAAGCCTTACAGAACAGGACCTTTGTTGACTTCCTTCATTGTCAAATTATCACAACTTGAAAGAAGGCAGCATTGGCACAGTTGACGGCATGCTGGACTTTACATCGGAAGTGATACACATACGTCAGAACCAACTCATCTATGTAGATGGTGTACAAGAATGTTCAACTGTCCTGGGGAAGGTTGCTACAGGATCATCATTTTGGTGATGTTTAAGAACAGGACAAGCATCATATAAGAGATGTTGAGAAGGTTAAGTGTCTTTTAGATGGCCCGTGTGAATGAGCCATCATGCAGCAGTCATCCACAAAGTGAAGTTTGTGAAGTCCTCCTCGCTAACATCTGAAGGATGATGTCAAAATTGAGACAGTTGCTCAATAGAACAGTAAATGTAACAATCTGACATACGTATACAGAGAATCATTCTTTTTAATAATTTCTTAAACTCCTTCTATCTCTTATTTAACTAACAGGACAGATCTGAGGGCATGAGTGAACCTTGCAGTTTTCAATTTCAGTCTCACAGCATCATTGCTGGGTCAAGATCCTTCCACTCCCTATGTAAAAACACTTCAGGTGTGCCTACATCACAGGAATTGCAGAAGTTCAAGTAGGTGTTCGCTATCACATTCTCACAAGCAATTGGAGATGGGCAATAAATGCCCTGATAGATTAAAAATTAATTTTCAACTCAGTTACTGGAGTCATACAAGCTAACATAGATAACTTTTCACTGATGCTACTCTGCCAAGCTCCAGAATTTGACTTATGTACCAAGTTTGAGGGATTCCATTATGGGCTCATCAAACAGTACAAATGGAAGTGGCAAGGAAAGATAAGGAATGGGTTAACTGAAGAACTCTCTCATGTGCCTCATGAGGAAACAAGATGCAGACCACTGCGGTTCAGCCAGTAAAAGAAAGACACCTTCTGGACACCAGCAATTGCTGAAGTCATTGGCCTGTTAGCCAGAGAATTTCCAGAGCATGTCAGAATATATTATGGAGTCTCTAACCAATTTGTGGTGGCAACAAATACCATCAACATTCTGTAGTCAGTCATACAGTGTGTTAACGTCTTGTCAATCACATTGTTAAGATCTGTTAATGTTATATTTGATGTTAAAAGAAAGAGGTGGTAGGTTTTAACTGTCTTTGAGCATATGTAAGTAAGGGACAGCTGGGATACTGAGGTTGTTGAATGAGTGATATAAGACTGAACAAGGCAATAAACACTCTTCACAAAGAAATCACACCAAATGGCTCAGAATCTATGAAATTTTGTAGCAGAAAATGACTGGCTAAAGGTGGACACTGGAAACTAAGTTTCCTTCAGACAGAATATTATAATTGGAACCATCACTGTTTCACATTTTATTCCAAGTTGTAGCATTCAAGAACTTTCTTTAAAATCTAAAGATTAGAAAGTTCCATTGCCAAAAACACAAATAATTGGAAGACGTGACATAGCATTATTAGTTTAATACAACTAATATGAACCTTTTGTATGACAAAATGCAGAATAATAATTTCATTGTACTCTGTGTCACACTAAAGTTCTGAAGAAGTGTCACTGGATGCGAAATGTTAATTCTGCTTTATCTCCACAGATGCTGCCATACCTGCTGAGTTTCTCCAGCAATTCTTGTTTTTGTTTGTAAAAAATTATAGAATCGTGTTTCAATCATGGGTTTTTCCAGTAGTTTTATCCTTTCAATTGGATGTAATTGTTTCTTAGATTTCTAACTTATTGTTGTTCAGCAATGTAATAAAGAAAATGTCCAATTCAGTTTGAATTTATTGCATTTTGGTACCTGTAAATCTGCAATGGTCATTTTGTGGTATATTTTCTCTTCATCTCGACGCTCATCCTGGGGAACCGTGATATTTGCAAGGATAGTTTCAAACTCCAAAACTTCCTGCATTTGAGTGTATGTTGAATTACGCTCTCCTCCCAGAAGTACACCCAGTTCAACCATATAGTCCAGATATGCATGCAGTACCTGCAAAACAATTGAGAAAGCAATTCCCTCAAGGTACACAAGATAAAGTGCATCAAACACAAGGGATCTGAAGGGAAATGGGGACATTTAAAAAACTGTATTTTGTTTAGTGAATAGCCTGGAGGTGGAGAAACCTGGGCAAATAATTTTCTCTGAATTGTCCTTGCCCCAGTGTCATTATTTACCAGCAACTCAGTTGAAACATTTCTGCTGCCTATCTGATGAAATGTAGAACAGTAGATCAGGAGCAGTATCAAGATAATTCTCAGCTCACAATCACAGTACTTTAGTTCAAACAGCTCTCCTATCTCTGAAAAAATAACAAACTGACTCAGAAGAGGTGGTAGACCAATCATCATCTGTTCCAGCCTCCAATGTTAAGAGGGTCCAAAATAAGAGTAATTTTGCAGAAGCTGATTTCCATTTTATCTTGGTCTGATGCATAGTGTCAATGTCTACATATAAAAATCAGGCTCATAATGTCATTTTTTATAACTCCTAGTAGTAATTTCCTTACCACTTACTGGGATTTCTAAATGGTACAGTGAGATTATTAAGTCTGCTTTTAGCTTTTTCTTTACTACTTCATAGTAAGATGTATTTTGAAGATCAATTGTTCGAATAAGGAGTTCATCCAAAATGCTACTACTGAATTTTACAAATCCAAACTTAGACCATTTTTTAAAATTATCTGTATGCAACTTGTTTATATGCATACCAAATGGAAAGAAAGAACCCCTAATAAAGATAAGGCTCTTTTAAAAGCTTCCCATTCATTTGTATATACATTGTAAAATAAATCTCATTGAATTTGGTTGCTGGAAAGCAACTAAAAACTGCATGTCAAGCACATAGTCACATCAATATGGTTAGACATATGTTCAGATACATATTTAAACATTTAAAAGTAAATGAAAATACTTTTTACAACACCTTGCATCCACCTCTTCCTTTCCCTGTCCAAAAAATCTTTAAGAAAAACAAGAGAAAGGGAATAGAAATAAATTTGCTGTAACACATTACCTTTTCATTGGCTGTTTTGTTTAGGTAGTAATCACGAGATGGAAGAAATAAGCCTGACTGATCAACCTAAAAGAGAAAATAAAAGCCACAATGTTTGCTGTTACGGCATTCATGGCATATGGGCAGTCTATCAATTATCTACCCCAACTTCCCTCAAGGTGACAGTCACCATTTTTAACTTTTGAGGAGACAGTTCCAGGTGTTTGACCCAAAGGACGAGGGAACAATGATACATTTCGAAGTCAGGATGTTGTGCGACTTGTACCTGGTCTTGCAGTTAGTGGCGTTCACATTCATCTCTTGCCTTTGTATTACTTGATGTCAGAGGTCACATATTCAGAACTCGCTGTTGAAGAAGACTTGGTGAGTTGCTACAGTGCAACTTGTGTGTGGTTTCACGCTGCCCTTGACAAGATAAATTGTAACGTAGACTTCCAACCTTGCATATAGTGTTAGCCATTTTGTCCAGTTACTGCACCGTTGATTTCTAATCCAACATGACAAGGCTCCAATGTCATGTTCTTGTGAGTGAGTTGCAAGCTAAGAATCAGGATGTTCACATCCCATCCTTCATGTTCCTTGATGACCTTTCAGCCTCCTCAGTTTTGTTGGGACCATAATTTTGTGAATTCCTGTGCACTTGTTGACCACTCTCCCAATGAAGAGGCCAAAGTGATGATGACTCAGACTGATCATGATGTGGCAGTCCTCCTTCCTGAAGCTGTCAGTGCCCTTCCATGCTCTATGAGATTCCACCTTCTATCTTGAATTGCTTCCTTTCACTTTAATCATTTCCTTAGCAATCTAATCCAATAACCTCCATTCCCAGATGTGACTGTCCCATATTCAAGAGGACTCTGTGGACAGATTGCACCCTGATAATCCCCATGATTATTATTCCCCAAGACCCTGAGACTAACAGTAATTTAGCAGGACAGCCTCAACTGAGCATTGCCCATCCTCTGGACTCATTGTCACAGCACCCTGAATGACTCACCTGTAATCCCTGGACTGGTTTCACTTGACTTGCAGGACAGACTGGGGCCCAATACCCAGACTGCAAGGACACAGATCCTTGATCTTTGGTAGGGTTGGGTACCTAAATGACAGTGGCCAGTCCTCTAGAATGGAATTAGATGCATCCCTCAACTGAGTGTCACTGTACCTTTTGACTGTAGTCCCCTGTGACACCACTAATTACTGCCCCCCCTTGAACTTTCACAAGGGCCATTTGTTTGAAGCACATGCAGTTTGTTTGTTGTGTAAGCTGCTGGTACAGACTGCCGGTGTGACATGACATGGCCCAATGCCAGAACAAACGTCCATCCCGCTCACTGTTCAGTGCTCCCCACTGTGACAAGCTAATTCTTGTACAAATGTGCTAAAAAATAAGTGGAAGTCACAGTGGCTGGTAGACTGCAAGTAAATGCAAAGACAGCAAGTGCTAAGAAAGCCAGCTAACTGCCATAAGCCTCATCCTGTGTAGTTGCATGAGATGCATGTGCCTCACTATGCAAAGTGACCTGGCAGAACCATGCAAAGCAAAGGTGTCCATGAGCTCCAAATTCAAATGTTGAAAGTGTGAATTAGTGTGAGAGTTAGTCCAAGTCCAGTTGCAATGATATCGAGAGGCTGGTGGTTTACTAATGCTGGCTTGTGTGGATGAAGGTTTGAGGAGGATGTTGAACGTGGAGCATACGTTGTGCTGTATACAAAGTCAATTGATGGCTATTATATGCATTTGGTGAGCTGCAGCTGTCAGGTACCCACTCAGAGTTAGGAATTTTCACACATTAGTTTCTCAGGGTAGGAGAATTGGAAGTGGCATAGAAATAAGGCAAGTTGGGCTAATAGTGAGATAATATAAATATAAATAAGGTAAATCACCATTCAGTAGTGAGATTCTGAAGCCACCATTAAGAAAAATCGCTAAACTTTTCCTGATATCAAGATTCTGATTTTTTTTCATTCTCACCATACTTTCTCAACTTTCTCTACTCATTCCAAATGAAGGTGGGAAAGTTTCCACCAATTCTTCAGTGGTACAATTAGAATAATGTCAGGGCACATAACCAAAGATTCATCCAGTGGGGCTGAGTCATTCCTTCAGCCTGGTTTTTGCAGACATATGCTGGAGTCCATAGTCATAGAGGTTAGGGATGTATATGGAGCCTTCTGCTTCCACTAATTATTTCCCCACTACCATTTGTTGCATGACTGCAGACCTTTGATCTGATCCATTGGCCATGGGATTGTTTAACTCTGTCTACAAAATGCTACTTCAATTGTTTAGTAAGCATGAAGTCTTGTGATGAATTTTCGCAAGGTTGGGACCCTACTTTTACCTACATCTGTTGGTACTCCTAACATGTTCCTCTACACTCCTCAGTGATCCAGACTTAATCTATTGGCTAGAAGGTAAAGGCAGAATAAAATACATGCTGAGTCATGAGGTTGCAAATAATATGGTTGAATACAATTCTACTGCTGTTAGTGGTTCACAGCATTTAATGGTTGGACAAATTTGAGTTGCCACATCTGTTCTGAATATTTACACATTTTACATAATGAGTAACTTTGAATAGTTTCACACATTAGCCTTACATACCTGAATGACATTGCTGTTGGAACTTTTGGAATCTGCGCTAACATAGACAGTGAAAAAAGGAACCGCTCTGTAAGTCCCAGAAACTGCTTTTAGCACTTCCATGAAGTTGTCTTTATCCCAGGGACCTGTGATATTCCAGCCTCCTGTCTGCATTAAAGAGATAATTTTATCAACTTGATTATTACTAACAATTTGTTGGACATAGAAGATACATTGTGGATTATGGACCTTAGAAAGTAAGCTATGGACTTTAAAACTGGCAGAAAAAAGGAAAACAACTGTTCTCCCTTTATTATTCATGTTTGCTGCTCTGCAAAAGTTCAGCTAAAGTACATATAATTTTTCAAACTTTTAACTTTACTAACTTGTTATTAATTTTACACAGAAAGATTTGGTCAGGTCCGGAAGTACAGAACTGAGCCCAATTTTAAACACCTCATGCCTTTACATACAGACAGATTCTATATCACACATCTCAAGATTTGTTCACCACAGTTTCAGCTCGCTCCAATAAACCATGAGCACGGGTGAATCTTAATTAATGCTCATCATCTGAATATAATTAAAATTCAACTAATATTCAAAAAACATCCTTGCCCTCTCTCACTCATCTTTGGTGCTATTGTATTGCCCTTAACAGGCATTACGTGTAAATTAATTAATTGGGAACAACCCGAAATTGGTTGACAATAGGTGAAAAGTAACACTGGTGGTTTAGTGGAGAGAAAAATGCTGGTCAGTTGTAAGTGAAAGCATTTCTGAATATAGAAAGAAAACAGTATAAAAAGATTCCAAGGGCCCAGATAGATGTCACTGGAGCACTTGATTTTGGGGCTGTTACGGCACCATTGTCACATGCTTACTTCTTAGCCAAAAGGTCCAATTCCCACTTGCCACAGAGGTGTATCATAACCCATGTCTGAACAGTTTAATCAAAAAGAACATTCCACTGGTGAGAGAAGAACTAGCAAGATCAATTAGATCACTGCTTAACATAAGTTTCTTGAAATCCTTGGTAACTGAATGCTTTGGAACAGCGTTTGTTTTATGTAGAATTTGTGTAATTTTTAAACTGTTACAGTCTGAGGAAGACTTTCCAACACCTGACTATCCTGACATACAAACTGTATGCACAGAGAATGTTGCAAATGTTGCACATGTCCAGCTACCCCACAGATGAGATTCAAATTAGGCATAGTTACTCAAAATGTTGCACATCAGAATCAAAACCCATATTTGCATCAAATAAACACAGTGCAAACAAGCCTCTAAAAAAATTCAAAAGTGTATGCAAAGCAATTCTAATTTATTCATTGGACAGTAAATAAGCACTATATTCAATATTTCATACAAAGCTGATTAACATACTACCACAAAAGTCATTTGCATCCATCAAAATAAATAATCAAAGTGGAAAACACTAAACAAAATATTTACTAATATTAATAATTAAAAATGTTCTTGCCCATGGGAAGAGAAGAAAAATAGAATGCGTTGCATTGTTTTTTTTGTATCCAAGGAAAGAATGCCTGAAGGTAGCAGGAAGGTAAAATTCCATTGCATGTACTCCTGCTCTACTTCAGGAATGCACTTTACAAAAGTGAGCATTCATGGACCATAATTTGCTGTCACACGTAGATTCAACTTTTGGTTACAATTTTGTATCTTCCCTTCAAAACGTTATGGGTTGACACTTCTGTTGTTATCAATATTAGGATGTGAACATAGGAGGTATGGTTAGTAAGTTTGCAGATGACACCAAAATTGGAGGTGTAGCGGACAGCCAAGAAGGTGACCTCAGAGTACAATGGGATCTTGATCAGATGGGCCAATGGGCCGAGGAGTGGCAGATCAAGTTTAATGTAGACAAATGTGAGGTGCTGCATTTTGGAAAGGGAAATCAGGCCAGGACTTATACACTTAATGATAAGGTCCTGGGGAGTGTTGGTGAAAAAAGGAACCTTGGAGTGCAGGTTCATAGTTCCTTGAAAGTGGACTCACAGGTAGATAGGGTAGTGAAGAAGGTATTTGGTATGCTTGCCTTTATTGGTCAGTGCATTGAGTGTAGGAGTCAGGAGGTCATGTTGAGACTGTACAAGACATTGGTGAGGCCACTTTTGGAATACAGTCAGTTCTGATATAACGCGATAGTTCCGTTCTTGTGCAATCTCACATTATAAGAAAATCGTGCAATAGCCGCGCCATTTAAACTAATGGGGCTGGAATCGCCTTATAGCCAATACAGATAAGGAAAGTTCGCATTCTACAAATAGCACTCTAAATTATTGAATTGCGTTAAAGCCAATTTGCATTGAAAAAACGTGTTATCGCAAAACTGACTCAACTGCATTTAATTCTGGCCTCCCTGCTATAGGAAGGATATTGTGAAAAGATTCAGATTCTAAATATTCAGAAAAGATGTAAAAACATCTTGCTGGGGTTGGAGGGTTTGAGCTATAGAGAGAAGCTGAGTAGGCTGGGATTATTTTCCCTGGAGCGTCAGGGGCTGAGGGGTGACCTTATCGAGGTTTATAAAATCATGAGGGGCATGGATAGGGTATATAGGCAAGGTCTTTTCCCTGGGGTGGGGAGTTCAAAACTAGAAGGCATAGGTTTAAGGTGACAAGGGAAAGATTTAAAAGGGACCTAAGGGGCAACTTTTTCACGCAGCGGGTGGTGCCTGTATGAAATGATCTGCCAGAAGAAGTGGTGAAAGCTGGTACAATTACAACATTTAAAAGGCATCTGTAGGGTACATGAATAGGAAGGGTTTAGAGTGATATGGGCCAAATGCTGACAAATGGGACTATATTAATTTAGGATATCTGGTCGACATGGATGAGTTGGACTGAAGAATCTGTTTCATGCTGTATAATTCCATGACTGTATAACATTAATAAATACCTAATGAATCTCGGGAACATATTTTTGAGATGACCAACAGTAAAGTCATCAACATTGTGTTAACTGTAAAAAGGCCAGAAAAATAAATTCAAAGGTGTTGCATAATGTAAACTCATAGTTAAAGTAGAAATCCATGTGCACATCACAAAGTTGCAAAACAAATATACAAGAAATGGCGTACTAAGAGGTAAGTTATTAAGCCAATAAAAAGATTTGAGTTAAAAATGGGTTATATAAGTTATATTATACTTAAAATAATAGGATCGATGTACTGCAGGAAAGCAATTTCCTATGGTTCTATCTGATGTGAATTATCTTTCCCTTAACTCTCTCAAGGCAACATTTTTCCTCTGCCTTTTTATCCACTGAAATGGATCTACTTAATGTCCACAAATCCATGGTCCCTGATTAAGAAAAAGAATTATACAACTCACTTCTCTACCTTTCCTGGTCATGAAGCTTAGCAACAGCAAGTTTGAACTGTAGTAAAAAGTTTACTTTTCACTCTCTCCCTCGATTGGTTGTCTCCACCTTCCTTCATCCACTCATGTCTCATTGGACAAACCCATCTGCACTATAAATAATTCAAGGCATAAGAAACAAATAAAAATAGAAAATTTAGTACAAAGGCCCAGGGAAATGTAAGCATGAAAAGAAACCCAGAAGTTTTTTTTTGGAAATAAATTTGAAACTGCAGAATGAACTTACTCCACGCCTTAAATCAATTACCACTCACCACTGATTCCTTAGAATCTTGGACACCCTTTTCACACGGGACACAATTTGTAGTTGATTGTTCAATGCCAAAATATCAGAAATAGGAGGCAAGACATAACTTCTTTTGCATTTTATACAAAAATGTTCTACTGAAGTTCAGCATCACTGACAGGTCCCATAAACTAACAGTGTACCTCTATAATCCCACAGTAGAGATTTATGCCTGTCCATTATCTAAGTAAATAATCATAAAGTTCAAAGGTGAAACACAGAGTTTAGTAGAGTGACCACTTAGTCACTTGTGATTATCCTCAACTTCAGTACTGAGCACTTATGAGCACAGGAAATATCAGGCGTAGTTCTTCCTTTACTCATTTGTGAGGCACAAGTGTCACTGGCTGGCCAACATTTATTGCTAATCCCTAGTTTCCCTCAAGAAGATGATGGTGAGCTGCCTTACTGAACTGCTGCAGTCCACATACCACAAAGCATGTTTAACCATTCAGTACTTTCATGGCAGATCTTGGGATTCAACTTCACTTTCCAGCTTGCTGTCATTATTGCTCAATTCCCTAACAGAGGAAAAAAAATCTGACTATCCTAATCTTAAATGTATTCAAATGATGGATCATTCAAAACCCTATGAGGTAATAAAAATTCCATAAATTCATAACCCTTCAAGTGATTTCTCCTCACCTCAGTCCGAAATGATCAACCTCTTATCCTAAGACTGTGCCCTTTAGTTTTAGGTTCCCCAAACAGTGAAAACAATCTTTCAGCACCTTATATCTCTCAATGAGATTGCCTCTCATTCTTTGAAACTCCAGGGAATATAGGCGCTTATATTAAATATGATATTTATTATATGTGCATTATTTCCCTCCTCCCACAGACCAATTTTGTGAATCTTCATTGTATAGTACTACTTTGAATGCCAAAATATCCTTTAAGAAATGTGGAGACCGAAACCACTCACAGAACTCTAGATATGGTCTCACTAAAACCCTGCACAATTTTAGCAAGACTTTGTTATTCTTGGACTCCCATCCACTTGCAATGAAGACCAGCTGCATTCCTAATTGCTTGCTGCCCCTGCATGCTACCTTTCTGCATTCACTGTTTGAGTAGTACATCAACATTTACAAATTTCATACCTTTACTAAAAAACATTCTGTTTGTCTATTCTTACTAGCAAAGTGAATAACTTTACACTTCTTTACGTTACGTTGTGCCATCTCCCTGACTGTACACTCCCTTAACCTGTCTACAGCTGTTGGTGCCTGTGTTGTCCAACAGCTTAACTTTCCACCTAGCTTTGTATCTTCAGCAAATTTATATACAGCACTGTTTCTTCATCCAAGTTATTAAAATAGATTGTAAATAGCTGTACATCCAGCAATAACCCATTCAGCACTCATCTATTCAATGACTGCCAACTTGAAAATGCCCATTTATGCTGTCAGCCTTTTATTCATTAATTGACAACTTATCTGTGCTAATTTATCAGCCACAATGTCATGAGACCT